ATTTCCAGCTGCCTCCGCGCGCGGCCAGCGCCGCCATGTACGTGCCCGCGCGCTCGGGGCGCGGCCGCAAGGGCCCCCTGGTCAAGCAGACCAAGGTGGAGGGCGAGCCCCAGAAAGGCGCCGGCGGCCTTCCGCCCGCCCCGTCGCCCACGTCGCCCGCCTCGCCGCAGCCGCCGCCTGCCCCGGCCGCCGCCTCCTCCGAGAAGAACTCCATCCCCATCCCCACCATCATCATCAAGGCGCCGTCCACCAGTAGCAGCGGCCGCAGCAGCCAGGGCAGCAGCACCGAAGCGGAGCCCCCCAGCCAGGCCGAGGGCGCGGGGGGCGGCGGGTCGGCGGCGCCCAGCCCGGCCCCCACCATGTCGCCCGTGCCGCCCTCGCCGTCGCCTGTGCCCACCCCCGCCTCGCCCAGCGGCCCCGCCACCCTCGACTTCACCAGCCAGTTCGGAGCCGCCCTGGTGGGCGCCGCGCGGAGGGAAGGGGGCTGGCAGAACGAGGCACGCCGGAGGTCCACCCTGTTCCTCTCCACCGATGCGGGGGACGAGGATGGCGAGGGCGGGCTGGGCGCGGGGGTGCCCCCGGGCCCACGGCTGCGCCACTCCAAGTCCATCGACGAAGGCATGTTCTCCGCCGAGCCCTACCTGCGACTCGAGTCTGGGGGCTCCGGAGGTGGCAGCGGCTACGGGGGCTACGGAGCGGGCAGCCGCGCCTACGGGGGCAGCGGGGGCGGCAGCGCCTTCACCAGCTTCCTGCCCCCCAGGCCGCTCGTCCACCCGCTGACCGGCAAGGCCCTGGACCCCGCGTCCCCCCTGGGCCTGGCCCTGGCCGCCCGGGAGCGCGCCCTCAAGGAGTCCTCGGAGGGGGGCGGGGTCCCCCAGCCCCCTCCCAGGCCCCCGTCGCCCCGCTACGACGCCCCTCCGCCCACCCCGCACCACCATTCACCACACGCCCACCACGAGCCGGTGCTGCGCCTCTGGGGGGCGTCTCCCCCAGACCCCACCCGCCGGGAGCTGGGGTACCGGACCGGGCTGGGCAGTCAGGAGAAGGCGTTCCCGGCCAGCCCACCGGCCGCGCGCCGCTCGCTGCTGCACCGCCTGCCCCCCACCGCCCCTGGCGTCGGGCCCCTCCTGCTGCAGCTGGGGCCCGAACCGCCGACCCCCCATCCGGGCGTCAGCAAGGCCTGGCGGTCCAGCGCCCCAGAGGAACCCGAGCGGCTCCCTCTGCACGTCCGGTTCCTTGAAAACTGCCAGCCGCGGGCCAGCGGAGTGGGCGCCCGAGGGGGGCCCCCCGCGGAGGACGGCCCGGGGGTCCCGCCGCCCAGCCCGCGCCGCTCCGTGCCGCCCTCGCCCACCTCCCCGCGGGGCGGCGAGGAGAACGGCCTCCCGCTGCTGGTGCTGCCGCCTCCGGCGCCCTCGGTGGACGTGGAGGACGGCGACTTCCTCTTCGTGGAGCCGCTGCCCCCACCGCTCGAGTTCTCCAACAGCTTCGAGAAGCCCGAGTCGCCCCTCACCCCCGGGCCCCC